TTTGTTGTTGTGTGCCATTGAGTCAATTCTGACTCATAATGACCTGGAGGACAGAGTAGACCTGCCCCGTAGCGTTTCCTAGGCTATAGTCTTTAAGGAAACAGATTGCCACATCTTTCTCCCAAGTAGCAGCTGGTGGGTTTGAACCGTGGACCTTTCGGCTAGCAGTCTAACAGTTAACCATTGTGCTACCAGGGCTCCTTGGGGCCGTGTTAGACAGGCAGAATCTCACACCCTATCCTTGCACACATTGAATCAAAACCTGCATTTCAACAAGATTCCCAGGTGATGTGTTTGCAGATGAAATTTGAGAAGTACTGGAGTGATCAATGGTTCAAAACCCTGGCTGTACATGAGAGTTAATTGGGGAGCTTGTAAATGTGCAGATCCTACCCCAGAGATTCTTCTTTACCTGGCCTTGGGTGAGGCCTGAACGTTGGTAAATTTCCAAAACTCTCCAGGTAATCTTCATACAGCTAAGTTTGAGAACCACTGTTTTATATAAATTCAGGAGCAGATTAACCAGTAAGCGAGGTATGCATGGGCTTACAGAAAGCAAGGTACACAAGGGCTTACTTGTGCTTACTTACCAATCTGTAGTGCACAAAATTGCACACTGCAGAATGTGAAAATGTGCACTACAGATTAGTACGGAAGCCCATGAATATCTTGCTTATTGGGTAGTCTGTCCCTGTATAAATGGCAAATTGAAGTCCCTCATGTTACTCTATTCTATATCTGCCCAAACCCTCCTTCTCGTGTAGATTCAAAAGCTTCATCTACCAGCAGGGTCACAACTACCAGGCTGCCGTAACATCATAAACGTTAAACACCCAGGACTTACCAGTGGTTGATTCGCCTGTAATGTTCTCAAGAGGTATGACATAGCATTGGGCATTGCATAAAGTCACGAAGGTGGCGGAGATCACGAGGCTGCCCAGGAGAGCATTCTGCAATGTAAAGAAAGGGCAGGGATGGAGAAGGAATGAATGCAGACAGAAAACATTGACCGAGTGCCCTGTACAAGGAGCCCTGATTGACCGAGTGCCCGGTACAAGGAGCCCTGACGGGCTCTGGAAGGTAGTTGTGAAGTGGAGCTTCTACTCTCTGGTAACGCAGCAGGGGGAACAAGACCTACATGCACAAGTTACAAAGATAAACTGTGGGAAGAGCTAGACGAGCCAAAAGTCATAAAGCAAGAATAACAGTGTGCTATTTTATTCCA